TTTATGTGGAGTTGACAGAAGCAATAGTGGAATGCATGTTTTAGATCTAATAATAGGAGTGGGAAATGAGGTCTATAACTTTGCAGCTAAGATAGCATTTGCAGTCTTATGTTGGCAGTTTATTCAGGTACTTGTTGGACTCTAACAGTGATTAGTGCTTCCTATGCTGCTGGAGGAATTAACTGGTTCTTCACAGAAAGCTAAACTACAACCGCTCTTTCTACCAGTCTTCTGGAATACCGTGAAGCAGATGTTCAAAATTGTTGAATCAGGATTTGAAAAAGGACATTGTATCTTTTTTGCAGTCTATTTTTGTTACAAGTGGAAGCTAGGGCAATGCAAAGTTGGAAATGGAAAAATATTGGACATCAGACAGGGTTGTTAAGAAGCAGCTGGCTAGCTCTGCCACATGCTATTGATGTAAAGCAGGGGTCTCAAACTCAACTTACCTGGGGGCCACTGGAAGTAGAGTCTGGGTGAAGCTGGGCCACATCAAGTATTCCACAAAAAAAGGATTTCAAGTATTCCAAAAAAAGCACAACTGATCCAATCTTTACTAATAATAATTCAGAACATGAACGGTTCTTCAGAACATAGGCTTCTCTTACTTCTTCCTACTCCTTGCTGCCAGAGACCTGACAGTACTTCCTCTTACACAGCTGAACCACATTTGGCCTGAGGGAGGAAGCAACTGAGACCCTCAGTATGGCTTGAAGATGCTCATCAGTAAGTTTGGACCTGAACTTTGACTTATTAAAGTTCATGGTGGAGAAGAGCTTTTCACACAGATAGGTGCTCCCGAAAAGGCACATGGTCTGCTTGAACATCCTGGAAAGCTCAGGGAAGGTAAGGGGCAATTTTCTCAAAAATTGTGCAAGCTTGTCTGCTTTTCCACTCACCTCCCTGAACTTGGCTTTGAGTTCAGAATTGCACTGCAGGTCAATTAGCTCCATTTGAAGCATGGGGTGGGGGGGGGCATCTTCCACATCGAAGGAGAAGGGGTCAGCAAAAATTTGAAAAGTGGCTCTGTGTGTCTTGAAATCTGCAAACCTGCGATCAAATTCTTCCTGTAGCTTTACAATGGCATCAGCATACTTCTCACCGCTGAATGGTGTGCCAGAATCCATGAGTGCCTTGCATGCTGGGAAATGGCAGAGGTTTGTCTGAGAAAGCTGGGCTTTCCATAACACAAGTTTTGTGAAGAATGCTCTGACATTGTCATAGGCAGCTCTGACAAGCTGCCCCTGGCCTTGTAATTTCTTGTTCAGTACATTCAGCTTCTGTGTGATGTCAACAAGAAAAGCAAAGTCCATGAGCCATTTGGGATCACTTAATATAGGAACAGCCATCCCATCTTTCTCCATGAAGGTTTTCACCTCTGCTCTCAGTTCAAAAAACCTCTTCAAGACGTTTCCCCTACTAAGCCAATGTACCTCGGTGTAGTAGAGCACATCCTCATATGCTGACTCTATTTCCTCTTAAAAGGCATGGAACTGCCGGTGCTTTAAGCCCCTGGATCTGATATGGTTGATGCATTTCACAACATCAGACATCACATTGTCAAACTTCAGGCATTTGCTGCAAAGGGCCTGCTGATGGATAATGCAGTGCAGAGCAATGGCCTCTTCCACAGCCTCTTCTTCCAATTTTCTTTGAACAAGTGCCACGACTCCATTTCTCCTCCCTGTCATTGATGGTGCTCCGTCGGTTGTTATTCCAGCAAAACTCTTCCATAGTAAGCCGGCATCACACAGCTGGTGGAATATCTCCTGAGTGGTGGTCTGGCCATGCATTAGAATCACTGTGAGTAACTCCTCCATCACTTCAAAATTGTCGTCAACACCACGGACATATATTGCGAGTTGTGCAGTGTCAGTGACATCTGTACTCTCACCAAGAGCGGCTGAGTATGCATGAAAATGTTTAGCTTTCTTACTCAGTTGATCGTAAATGTTACCTGACAGGTCAGAAATGCACTCTGCCACTGTGTTGGCCAAGAGGCTGATGTTGCTAAACTGACCCTTTTTTTCCAGACAGACTATACTTGCAGCCTGCAACATGCACTTTTTGATGAACTTGCCATCTTTAAATGGCTTTCCTGCCTTAGCAATCATCTCACTTACTACATAACTGTCTTCAACTGCTGCATCACTCTCTTTGCTTGCTTTCTTGAAAAAACCTTGTTGCCTCAGTAGACATGTTTTAAGTTTGGCAACACGGTCCTCTCTCTCATCTCCCTGGTATTTTGCATACTCCTCAGCATGCAAAATAATGTAATGACGTCTGATGTTGTACTCCTTGTGCACCGCAACTTTCTCTGTGCATATAAGACACGTCGGGATGCCCCTGTGCTCAACAAAAAAATATTCCGTCTCCCACTTCTCCTGAAATTGTCTGTGCTCATCGCCAACCTTTCTCTTCACGGCAGGTTTTGAGAAAGACATGACTGGGGCTGGGTGACAAAAAAACGTATTTGCGCTGGGTGACAGGATATATTTCCCAAATCACGTTTCAAGTGACTAACATTGTTAATTTGCATTGCTGTCATGCTCCTGAGCTATGGTAGCCCACAGGTGTCAAAAAATATAAAACGCCCAGGCAATGTTCCCTCTAAGCTGCCGCTCATCCCGCGTCGCTCCCGGAGGCCGGCCCAGGCGCCGCCGGCGCTTTGAAGGCCGCAGGGCCCCTCCCCCGAGCCACCCCTGTCCCGTCCCGGCGCGCAGCTTAGAGGGAACATTGCGCCCAGGGTAACCACTCGCGCAGGTGCGTGTGAGAAAAGCGCGCGGGCCGCACTATCACTGAACTTTGATATCAAGTGGGGGCCAGCAAATATCATCCCACGGGCCACAATTGGTCCACGGGCCGCGAGTCTGAGACCCCTGATGTAAAGGACTATCATCTGGAGATATGCTGCACGATCCATTCTTTTTCTTTTATGTGTTCCTGTTTGTTTTTGGTGTATTTGCAGATGAAATGTTTTTTAAAAGAAAGTGTGGTTGTTTGCATCATCTTCAGAATGCTTTGTAATTTGTGCACGTGCTTAATGGTTTCTCTTGGAAAAATGCCCTCATCTCAGTCTGGCTGTGCAACTCACCCTCAGTTAGTACTTACCAAAATGATTTAGCTGTGCATTTAGCTTGCAGTGTATTTCCAAGCTTTTATGTATTTAATTTTTAATCATTTTGACTTACAGTCATCTCTGCTAAGTGCTTGCCCCCTTGAATCTGTTCCCAGTGTTTTCATAAAGGTTCCCACGCAAATGCCCTCCTTCATTTCTGTGCTCACTTCCCACCCATGTGCATTGTGTGATGTGGAAGCTGCAAGGTCATCTGAAAAATGAGAGGATAGTGCAGAAGTTTTTATGTAATTACCACAAAAGTTATTTGGAACAATCTGCAAGTTCTTCTCAGTGAGAGAATATTAGCAAGGATGGTGATGGGGAAACTCTTCACAGAACTTAAGATAAGCTGTAGCGCTGTTTAACTTAATAAACATGGCTTTCAGTTGGACAGTATGTGAACTCTGCTTATCAGTGTGAGCTGTTAACCAAAGACCTTCAGGCCTGTTCCTACCCTTGGAATGAACTCACTGGGTAGCATTAAGCCAGCCAGTAGCTCCCCACCTTGCATCCCACCATTTGCAATACAGAAACTCTCTGTATACTGTCCCCCTTTTATAGTTACTTACAAGGATTACTAAGCTAATGTACATGTAGTTGTCTAATCACTTAACAGTAAATAACATATGTTATTTCTTTGCACTGGGATGTTCAAGTTGTCCTTGCATAAGTCTCTGCCTATAGAGGGTTAGAACTGGTAGGAAAAGTCCTTTACATTTGGGTGGGCAAAGTTCATAGTCTATATCCTGTTTCCAATGCACAGCCCTAGCATACATGAATAATATTAAATGCTGATTAACATTTTTTTGATGGCTATAGCATTCTGTTCCCCAGCTAATCTGCACTGGTGCTGCTAACTAGCATCAGTGCAGTGCATATCCAGTCACAACTTAAACTAGCATTGCTGAATAGAGACTAGATTCCCAATCTATGACCTGGTCCTTCAAGGGGAGCAGAACCCCATCTAGAACAGGTTGAACCTAAGGAACCACCCACCACCACCTGGCCTGGACTGAGCTTCACTTTCTTAGTCCTCATTCAGTCCACTCTGGTAGCCAGGCACTGGTTTAGAACATCCACAGCCTCACCTGATGCTGAAAAAATGAATGTGTGTACTGAACTGATAGGAAATTCAGAAAGAGACTGTTAATTCTTTTTTATGAGATTGTAAATGTAGAAGAGTTCAATTAAATGGATTTTAATTCACCTATACAACTATGCAGTTTCGAGCTACATGCCTACAGCTACTTGTACAAAACCTCTCAGATAAGTGAGCTTGGAGTAAAACAGACTGACAGAAGGTTGAAAGGTGGCTTTAGAAAAATGAGAATGCAATACATCTTGCATGGTTGCTCTATTAAAACATGTACTAGCGGATACTTTTGGGCAGATCCGCACGATAATGATAAGACACCACCCTCTCGCTAGCACGTGATTCTAGTTCTGGTTCGCCTGCGGCTACCCACAGCGCAGGCAAGGCTCTTCTGGCTCCCTCTTCGCTGCAAACCAGCAGCGGGGCCGCGCCAGCTGCGAAACCGCAAAGGGGTCGCCCTGGTGCATCAGAGCCGGCTTTGCAAACAGTCCCTTGCGCAGCCCCGCGGAAGCCGAGCTCCAGGGCTCCAGTCAGGCCCCCGCAGGAAAGGCAATACTCCCCCTCTAGTCATTCAGAAGCCGCAAGCGTTTGCCCGCTCGGTGAGGCCAGCAAAGGAGAAGGAAACGGGGAGGTAGGCAAGGCGGAGAAAGGGGAAACCGACGCTACCGAAAAGCAGGGCCAGCGGCGTGGGGCGAGCCAATAGGAGAGGGCGTCTCATGGAGCCAATGGCGAGCCGCGTTTCCTCCTGACGGTCCGGATGGGCGTGGAGGGCGGGGGCTGGCGCTGTCTCCGGCAGTCGGCCCAGGGCGCGTCTGGCGGCGGAGTGGCTGTGCCGCGGCTCCCCCTCCCCTGCCAGGTAGGCGGCGGGGACTGGCGGCACTGCGGGCCCGGCGGCCGCGAGGGCCGGCGGCTGGGGAGCGGGGGGCGCGCGGGGCTGTCCGCTGGGGTGAGAGGCGTGGAAGGGGGACCTCGCAGCCAACTGCGTGGCTCCGGGGGAGGCTTTAAAGCAGAATGAGCAGGGCAGGCCCGGGGAGAGTCTGCCCGTGTCACGGTCACTCGCGGCAGCTGACAGCCGTTAGTACTCCGTGGCGAAACTGAGCTCGGTGGTGAGGTTCTTAGTTTATTGACCCTTTTGCGATTCCTCTTCAGAGGTTTTGATGTCGTGCGTTTGTTTTGCTAGCTGGGAAGCTGTAATGCAGTCCATATGTTCAGTGATCATATTGAAAACATGTGATTTAAAACTCACTAGGCATAATTAAAGGAAATCCGCACTCGATCAGTAGACCTCCCCAAGAGGAAGTTTAGCTCTACATTTATATATATATTTGTATTTCCATAAGTAGGTGACGAGCAGTTAGATAGGTTTTGCTTGCAGTTGTGTTTTTATGTTGCATTGTTGATGAGCTAATTACAAAATAACTGATAACGGAGCCTCCGCGGGCGGCGTGCGTGTCAATATGTATCTTTTTTAAAAATACTGGGTTTGGGGGGAGAATCCGCACAAGGTAACTCACAAAAGGGAAGCGCTACTCGTAGTGAAAATATTACCACAGCTTTGGTGGATCGCTGGTAGTGCTGGTGCTGACAGCTTTGTTGTTGTTGTTCAGTCGCGAAGTCGTGCGCGACTCTGCACGGGTCACAGCACCCCAGGTCCTCCTGCCCTCCACTGTTTCCCAGAGTTCACCCAAATTCATATTCATTGCATTCGTGACACTATCTCATCCTCTGCCGTCCCCGTCTCGTCCCCTTCTCCGTTTGCCTTCAGTCTTTCCCAGAATCAGTCTTTTCCAATGAGTCCTTCTCATTATGAGGCCAAACGACTTTTAGGGGAAAAAACACTGTATCTAGACTCTAGAGAAAGACTATTGATGGGAATTCCCCTTTAAATTTTATATTGACACTACAAACAACACAAATTCGTTATGTCTGTGCAGTGCTTCTTTGCAGTACATTGTTACAATATGTGACTGTTTCTCAACATGTGAAATGTCAAAAATAGATAATACGTATACATCTATTGATTTAGACAAATGGCTGTAGTGGCTGGTTTGCATGATCACTGCAGAAAAGAAAGTCGCAGTGATATCTTTTCCCCCACACAAGCTGGTGTGACACTGAACCACTTTATGGCCCCACAGGTTGCCCATGTTGTCCAAACCTGTTTAGGCAACATGGCAACCCAAGTGCCATGAGGGTATTTAGGCAAATCATGTGTTGTGCAACCTGATTACATGTGCATGATCGTGTGAGCACAGTCACACGAAGAATACCAACTGAAGATGGTAACTGAATAGTGGAGAAAATATTTCTGTATGATATATGATTGCTCTGCAATGTATTTTTAATAATTGTGAATGGAACGGATTTTCATCTCATATAAATTGCATTTTGTTTACTTATCTATATATTATGGTTTGTTCACTTGAACTTTTAATATGTAAATTGCAAAAGTTTGGTGGGTGGAAGACAGAAAAATGAGAACTCCATCAATATTGCTATAATCATGAATTATTCATTTCATTTCTATATTGCCCATAGTTGAAACTCTGTGGGCAGTTTACAACAAATTAATTATGATAGTGAAATAGAATCTAAGTATAGAAATGGTATGGCTCAGAATACTAGCTGCTAAAGTGTTACTAATTTAAAATAAACCCAACTTGTAAATTCCCGAAGAGGCACCTATTGAGCTGTTATGGAAAACTGAATACTGGGCCAGATGGGTTTTCAGTGTTATCTAGCAAAGCAGTTCTTTGTCACATGGAGGAAATGATTGTGGATGAGTTTGTATCTGGAGAAGGGGTATAGAAAACCAGAGTAGGGCACAAGTGGAAGCTAGACAGAGACTTTGGAAAGTAGGGGCTTGGAACAAGTAGCAGAGCTTTCTAAGTTACATTAGAAAGCTTTTTAAAGTTACTTTGTTCAGGACAACAGTAACCCAGCATTTCAATAATACGTCTCATGTCTCGCAGCACTTCGTCTATACTGTCTCAAGAAGTTCCTCCAGCAGCCATGCAGAATACCCTGTAATGTGATTCCCATTTTGCACATGTGGGTGCAGAATTGAAGGATTGTGAGCTTATGACTGGGACAGGATTTGAACCAGATACCTCAACTCAGCTTTTGAGTCAGTACATCACACTAGATCAGGAGTGCAGGGAGGGGATTGGTACAATAGAGCAAAGTTTATTTTATACAGCTAAACATGTTAATTAACATGAGTTGATATTTCTGTTGTTCACCAACTTTAAGTGGGAAGGCACTGCTTCACTGAATTTTCTAGAAGATGGAAAATGCAGGGAGCTAGCAGCAGGCTTTTCAGCCTCCTCGGCTGGAATGACTGGCTGTCAAATGGCAGTGAGGAGGCTGATTTGACTGTCCAGTTCAAAGAAGCCTATTTGAATAAAAGATTGCATAGGCTGGTGATAGTTCTTTAGATGTGCTATGGCATCCCTTGCAGTTAGTGAATGCACACAATTTCTAAGTTACTGTAGAATCCACACAAGTGTTTGGGAAGCTGTCACCTGGTTCAAGTGATACAGAAGACTTTGCCATATATTCACACTTGATCTCAAATCCGGCAAGCTGGCAAATTCTTGTTACTCTGCAGTACAATATGTAATGGTCAGCCTATCCTAGCAGGTTGCCACTGGAGGCAGATGCCTGCTTTCTTCCAAACTTATGGAGAAGGCTGGAGCATAGCTCTTAGAATGCAGTAGCCATACCTCAGTACTCTTTGCTATATTATGGCTGATTCTGGAGTCTCATGTAGTGCAGCCACTTCTAAGGAGCAAAATGACTTTGGTGGTGCTATCGAGACAGCACATCATACAGAGAGGACAAAAGTGGGTCTACCGAACTAGCCTTGGGCAATGTGCTGTGTACCTCAGCCTGCACACTGAGCCCTGCTTAGAGGTGGTTCTTCTATTCAGGGCCAGTGAGCATGGACTGCGTGACAGCTGAGCAAGCCTGAAGCATGGGTTCACATGACATGTCAACTCCAGGTGGGGGTTGCATGTCCAAAATGGCAGCAGCCCACATGCACTGCAGCCATAACCTGGGTCAGGGTGGACTAAGATGAAACATAGTAGCTGGAGGACTGCGTCCACTCTGAAGAAGATTGCATTGGCTGAGAGAGTTTGCTAGAAGCCTCTCTGTAGTAATGGGACTGCTGATAGCGGTTAACAATCCAAAAATCTTGCCTCTGCTCTGAAGTGGTATTTAGCAAGTGCTTCTCTCTTGCATCCTCAGACCCCCATGCCTGTCTGCAATATGGAGATGATGGCACTGACTTCTCACACAGGGTTGCTGGAAGGATTGTAACAAGAAAATGCAGTGTAAAGTTTTGACTATTACAAAGGCACATTGTAAATGTTAAGAAAGGAAATATTGGGCTGGATGTAAATTTGGGCAGGGAGGAGGGAGTGGGTCATTTCTGCCTTGTCAGGGTTGGTTTGACTTACAGTGTTAGATGAGGAATTTTGTAATGGAAAATTGCCAGTCTGAGAATTGTTCACTGTAGACATTCCAGGTCTAGGTAGCATGTAGGACTTGTAAATGATTCTTGAATTCAGTGTAGATTGAGGAGAGGTACTGGAGAAAGGTTGACATGGTGTTTCTGTAGGCAGCCATATCAAGGGTTAGGATTCAACTTCCAAGCTGAATGTAGGCTGGATGGACATATTTGTGGATCATGCTAGAATTGTCAAGTACTTGATTCATTAGGTCATGGTATTTGTGATGTGTTTTTTGTGTTCTTTCGTTGATATAGAAAAGCTGCTTGGCTTTTAAACAGGACAGGAAATGTGTTCCGTAAGGTGGTTTTCAGTGCTAAAGCAAGAGTTAGCCAGCTGCTTAACTTTTTGGTCTATGAAGTTTTAATGATATAAATAGAACAAGTGTTCTGGGAAGATGAAGGCCATCTTTTTCTCAGTTCTTTGTATTTGATGATTTAATCTAGCCCTCTAGAAAAAGGGATGTAGGAAGTAGTTTCTTGCTTATTGGCTAAATGCCTTCCACAGATTAGAACTGAAAGACAAAAAAATGCGTTTAGAGCATACTGGACTCCAGTATGTCTGAAACATAGGAAACTTTTTAATGAAGAGGAGAAAGCAGTATTACTGCATGTATTATGGGACTGCCTTGGACTACCTTTTTGAAAGGCAACATTTAAATTTTTTTTTATTTTTGATTTATATCCTGCCTTTTTCCTGCAAAGGGCTCAAGGCAGCTTACATCTCCTCCTCCATCTTATCCCCACAACAACAACCCTGTGAGGTGGGTTGGGCTGAGAGTCTGTGACTGGCCCAAAGTCACCCAGTTGGCTCCATGGCTGAGCGGGGACTAGAACCCAGATCGTCTGAGTCCCAGTCCCAGCTCTTCACCACTACACCACAAATCCTTTACTCCTTCCTTCAGTGTAGTCTGCTCAGTTACATTTTCACCTGTAACTATGTGAGGCTTTCAGGTAGCAGGGAACAACAGTTATATGATCATATGTCATCTTTCTAATTTAAAAAAATGCCTTGCATTATGTCATTTGAAGGTGGGTTGTTTGAAATTTAATCAAGTTAGCTAAAATTTCAAAGCAGTGAGTTCTGTACTGGTTTCCGTCTTCTCTGAAGTTTAAATTTAGTGCCCCAATCACTAACAAGTATATAAAAATCAGAACAAATTGTTTGTCTCTCATTGAAATAGATAAGATATTGTTCACATGACAGCCCACTAAGGGTTCTAGTAAAACTGTGACATATGTGGATACCATTTTGGATATGCAACCCTTGCTTGGGATTTGTCATGATGTATGAGCTTGGCAAGCTGGGTCAGACTCAGCATTAATTGACAGAAATTAAGGTAATTTAGGAGCAAATTCATAGACAGGTCAATGAACAGCTAAAGATCCAAGGCAGTTTTACCAGGCTAAGTAAGCAATGATATGATATCTTATACTGGATGCTTTTCTGGTAGCAGCAGCCTAAAGCTTATTTTGTAACATAGAAACATAGAAACAGAGCGAGTGAGAAGGAACCTCCTGGGCCATCTAGTCTGACCTCCGGCACCAGCCAGTTCCGCTCACGACATGCCCACCATGTGGACGTCCAGCCTATCCTTGAACACCCGCACCGATGGGGCCTCAGCAACCTCTCGTGGAAGCCCATTCCACACCTTCGGGGTCCTGACTGTCAGGAAGTGCTTCCTGGCATCCAAACAAAACCTTGGCTCCCTGAACTTTGCTCCATTGGAGCGCATCCTGCCCTCCTCTGCAGGGAAGAACAGGTCTCTACCCACCTCCGTGTGACATCTCCTCACATACCTGTATGTCGCCAACAGATCCCCTCTGAGTCTCCTTTTCTCCAGGCTGAAGAGACCCAGTTCCCTCAGTCTCGCCTCATACCCCATGCCCTGCAAACCGGCCGCCAACCTTGTGGCCCTACGCTGCACTTATTTTGTAAGTGAAGCCTAAGTTTATCATGTGTTTAAAGCATGTGCAAAGGTAAGTTTTTATCTTGGGCAGAATACTTCTGTATCTTCCACTCATGCGGCTATACGAGATGAGATGGCCCAAAGCTTTCTTTGGGTGCATGAGCTTATACACTTCCATTCCTTATGCAGGCTCCTCATACAGGACTATTTCAAATAAGGAAATAGGAACCAGCTTCAGCTTTGCAGTTGTCAACTGGAGAGCTAAGGGATTCCTTTTTCCCCAGCCCTCTAATTGAGCTGTCAACAGGCAACTGATTTGCATTCTGCCTTTGCTTTTCTTCCTGGTCACTAGCTTTTGTCCCCTCTCCTTCATGGGTGACAGGTGAGAACAGAGGCTAAAAGCCAACTGCACTATAGAGCAGGGATGGATGACCTGTAACCCTGCAGATGTGGTTGGACTGTGAAGTCCCTCAGTCTCAGTAAGCGTGGCCAGTGCTCAAGGAGGACTGAAGCTGGATTTCAATGGGAGCTGGATCTTAGCACCATATGGAGGACTACTTGATGCCCAGTCCAGTTATATATAGAAGGATTATAGACTTTAGCAATATGCAGGGTATACAAGCAAGCATTAAGCCCTCCCAGAGGCAAAGAGAAGAGTTCCTCTGATGTACTATGTGGCTTTCACTCCTCACTCTCCTGAGAATAGCTTGTAGGAAGAATAGAAAGAACAGGTTGACAGCTATGTGTACAGATTCAGCCTGCAGTCTTCCAGTTGCTGTTTAAATCTATCCACAAAGTGCAAGCAAGTTCTCTTGCATTTGTTGGGAAAGAAATCAAGAGAAGAAAGAAAAGCTCTCTCTTCCATCCTGCCTCCAGCCACTTTCAAACTGTTCAGCATCTCTTATAGAATTATGGACCTGCTAAAGTTAGCTTGTACACTATGTGCCAGAAACAAGATGGTGGAGGAAATGCTGTTGCACATTTTGTTGTGCTTGTTTTACTTAGCAGTAGGCCATAGAGTTGATTCCTGTTTGCTCAGAGTGAAAGAACTTCTTGTTTTGTGTTTCTTCCTCTCCCCAAAGAGTAAATAAAGTTTGATTTGCCCACAGGCTACAGCCCAGCTATTTATCTGAGTCAATAAGGAGGACAGTCTGGCTCTAAGTCTCCTTTTTGTTTAAATATTATCCCAAGTGATTAGCCACATGTTGTTTGGTACAGCAAAAGGGGGTGATATTGATGGTGATCTGTTACTTTAATACTTTGTAGTGAAATATTGTCTGACCTTCTAATTCTGTTCAAGAAGTTCAGACTTTTCTTCGTAACTTGTAGTGTCAGGCTTGGATAACGCTTGCAAACATGTTTGTGATCTTCTGTTATATGAAAGATGCATCAGTTTCTTTCAGATTAGTAAGTAACACATGATGTATTGCTTGGAATTGACATGTTAGACTGGAAAGAGTGTTATGATTTAATATCAGACACCTAGCTACAAGAAGTTCACTCTTACTACATTGGGCATATTGCATTCAGTCAAACCTACATTTAGTATTACTACTTTATATCTCACATTTTCCAAGCACTTCAAGGTGCTATATCTTGCTTCTCCCCCCATATTACCCGCCTGTTAGGCTATGTTAGGCAGGTTAGGCTGAGAAGCTACCAGTGATCTTCATAGCTGAAGGTTACCCAGTGATCTTCATAGATCTTCATAGCTGACCATGGTTTTGAATCTGGGTCTCATTACTACTCCACTATAACTACTGCACCACACTCACATGGATAGATGAAATGAGCTGTAGTACATGGGATAGCAAGTTCTATGGAAATGATTACACATTTCAGTTCTTGGCTTCTGGCCCCTTGGAGGAAAAGGTAGATGTTGCATCTCCTTTCATGCTTAATTCATCAGTTCTCATTGAGAATCAAGACTCATGTGGAAGATGGGAGACTAGATAGTAGTGACACTTGCTACCAAGAGAACTTGGTACATAGGCAGCTGCTTGAAAATGAAGTGTATGTTTCCCATCTAATTCTGACAATCTGGTATCTTTTAAAGCAAATTTGTATTTGCATTGATGGAGCACTTGTGTATGTCTTCCCCAGGAAACCTATTTCTAGTTTATATTAAGATGAAACCCATATATATGAAAGATGGAAGGTGTTTTGACTTAAGATTTTTCTAGCATTCCCTTGGCACATTCCACTATTTGCCAGCCCAATTCCCTCTGAATGTGTGCACAAACAAATTTTTCATAGTATGATGAGCTGGAACCCTCACCTCCAGGCACTTTTTGAGGAAACAAAAGAAGTTGGAATAAAATGTTGCAAATTCGGGGTTAGAAACTTGGATTTTGGATGGAACATTTCAGTGGAAAGGAGATGCTTTCTAAATGATTGTGAAAGTGCATTAATGTATCTGTTTAAAGAAGCAACACTGCTGAGATCATTTTGCCAGGGGCTGGGTAGATGGACTCAATTCTGCTTTTCCCGCATGTTATGCATAAACTAAAAGTTGGCCAGAAGCTCTGTTCCCAGAGTTTCACTGCTGACTAGTATAACTGACAGGAATAACTGCCTTCTGTTACAATCCATTGGTCTCTAATTATTGAAAGAAATGTGACTGCTTTCTTGACTAGATGTTTGAGCTAATGTTTGCTGCACTTGCCTATAAAGAAGGTGTGCCTTAACTGTTTGATTTCAGATGGCTAATTGAAATCCAGGGTCTCTGTTCATTATTAAGACCTTAACTGGTGTTAAGAAAGACTAGATCAGAAGCTATTGTTATAATTTCCTCCCCACTTTTGACCTTGTTATACAGATTCTGTCAAAGAGGCAGTTTCTGTCTTTCTTTGAGGCTCTTTGGTTGCTGTTTAACAGAAGAGTAGCTGTTCCTTTCTCAGGAATGGCTATGGATGAAGGGAGCTGTAGTCCAACAGCTGGAGGACACCAGGATGGGGAAGGCCAGTTTATGGCACTGTGGGGAGTTGGACCAAATGATGCTTGATCACACCAGCTCTTCGATTCTAGATATCCTGTGTGAATGTACCCCTTTCTGGAAGAGTCTCTACCAGGTATTCAAAATGGTACCAGGCGATCTCTTATACTAGGGAATAGCATAAGTGTTAGCAGAGAGGAAGGGTTTCTACACGTATCCCTCCCATTGTTCTTCTGCTGTAAATCCCCCTCACCAGGTAATAAGTTCAAAAAGGATGCACTTGTTTTACCTCTGTGGAACTTTCCAGCTGCTAAAAACTGTGTCCAGCTAGCAAGATTAACTGAAATGTATGGACCCTTCGTTTTGTGCTCTGTTTCTTCTGCTAACTAAACTGTAAACCCTGATTCCTCTTTCTTTGATTTTGTGTGTGTTAGACATACATGTTCAATGTGTTGCTGAAGATCATGTTTTACTCCTGGAAATGTTTTAAAATTTCTCAATGAGGTTTTTGTTCCTCTGTTTCCCTCCAGCTAGGAACTTGGAAACTTTGGCACAATGCCGCTGTGCCACTGTGCAGTGCAACATAGTGAATCAGACATGGAGGGGTTCCATTTTGCACCTGCAGGAGGACTGAGGGTATATCTCTACTGGAAGGAGCGGGAAGAGATGGAACAGTACCAGACTTACACACAGGGGACTCCTTGTGCTGAAGAGATCTGCATTGATATTGCACAGAAAATTGGTAAGCGACTTATATGCTCTGGGCTTGTTTACATACCGTATTTTTCGCTCTATAAGACGCACCTGACCATAAGACACACCTAGTTTTTAGAGGAGGAAAACAAGAAAAAAAAATATTCTGAATCAAATGGTTTACTAAACTATTTAATAAACTATAACAGAATACAGTAATACCGTATTTCAACCTTGTAAAGTGAACAGCAGTCAACGGTGGCATTAAGAACCATCATCACTGTCATTAACAAAAGAGAGACTTTAAAGTTCAAGTACTCTTCTAGTTTTCGTCGAACCCATAGAACTCATCATCACTAGAGTCAGAATTTATGAAGCTCTGTTGCTCACAATCACTGACATCACTTTCTTAGTCAGCAGTGGAATTATTGAAGGAATCCACAATCTACACCAGTTATACAAGAGCTGCTGCAGACAATTCAATAACAAATCTAAAAAAGCCAGTAATGTCCACGCTGCCCTACTAGTAAATAATAGAAAAAAACTTCTGACAAAAAATGAGATATTGTACGGTAAATCAAACACACAGCGGACTAAGTAGCCTTTGAAGAATAAACTTCATACACGAAGGTAATGCTGTTCCAATATCCACTGATCCTAAAAAAAATGTGTCTGATCAACTAACAGATAACTGATCCATGGAAAGCTTCCTGATAATCACAGGCACATTCCCCATCACTTCCCCATCGGCTTCATTAAAAGACGGGTTGCCATTTGAAAACACACACTGACCTGTGATTAACAGCTCTCACCTGCGCTGGAGGAGGGGGGGGGGTGGAGCAGGGCGCGCCGAGTGCGTGCCGGCCAGGTGGTGCCGCGTGGGGCCGGTAGCGTGCTGGCGGTGATCTTCCGGGCGGCACAGTAGCGGCGGTGGCAGCAGGTCTTCCCAGGTGGTGGGGGTGAGCAGTTCCCGGGCGGTGGGGGTGAGCAATCCATCTCTCTGTGCTCTCCATGCGGCCAGCGGGTTAAAGGCCGCGGCTCTTCCTCCGCACGCCTCCCTCTGAGCGGCACAGCTCTCACCTGCACCGGGGGGGGGGGCAGAGCAGGGTGTGCCGAGCATGTGCTGGCCAGGTGGTGCCACGTAGTGCAGGTGGCCGGCAGCGTGCCGGCAATGGTCTTCCGGTCAGCGCAGCGGCAGGTCTTCGTGGGTGGTGGGGGTGAGCAGTCCGTCTCTCCGTGCTCTCTGTGCAACCGGCGGGTTAAAGGCCATGGCTCCTCCTCCTCCGCACACCTCCCCCTGAGCGGCACAGCTATCACCTGCGTTGGAGGGGGGGCAGAGCAGGGCGCACTGAGCGCATGCTGGCCAGGTGGTGCCACGTGGTGCAGGCGGCCGGCAGCATCCCGGGCGTCGGGCACACACACACATTTGCTCTATAAGACGCACAGACATTTCCCCTTACTTTTGAGGGGGGGAAAAGTGCATCTTATAGAGCGAAAAATACGGTATATGTTTATGAGAACATGTAGCCCTTGCTGTTCTAATAAATATCCTTGCAAAATCCAAGTATTCCTGTTTCTCACCTAGGGTGGGAGCTGGAGTGGGGTAGACCTTAGGCTAGGGCCCAAATCCAACCCTTCCTGAGTCCCATTAGAGCTCTCTGGGGGTCCCTAGGTGACTGTACTCATATTTTCCTCCATCTACCAATAGGTTTGGTAGTTTTCCAGCTTATAAACACTTTCCCCCTGTTTGAACAGATTAAAATGCCACTTCTAAAGCTTAGTTACTGGCAGTAAGAGCCTTAAGCTAAGTATGCTGGTATTGGGGGGGTGGGTTGTTGGGTGCGGGGAGGTTGCATTTTTAACAATACCCACAACTGGAACATGGCCCCCAAGAGTTCCTCTGAAATTGAATGTGACCATTGTGCTGAAAGAGATTCCTTACTTCTGAGCTACAGAAATGGGTTTGTCTAAGTCACATGAGGAGAAACAGAGTTCAGCTTTCCTGCCTAACTATTATTGTAACTACTGAAATTCCTACTTTGCTATTCCAACTAATTCCTCTAGCTGAAGACAGTTATGACTATGGATGTAAATCCCACAGACAGGGAAATTGGTGGTGGTTTGTATGTCTTTTTGAAAGCAACAAGAGAAACCATGGGACAAATGCTTGCTTTCTTCTTTCATTTCCATTCTGTTTTCCTTTTCCTATTGTTTTGTGCCTTTGCCAGCCTACAGGCAGTCTTTTAATTTTATTTTAATATCTGTGGCTAAAAAACTTGTATCTGCTTTATAAATGTTAAATAATGTGATAAAAATAGCAATGGTTGCAACTTTTGTGATGTTTTGCAACTAGATCTCTCCTTTCATATTCTTGGAGGATATGTTTCCTTCTGTTTCCCTCTTGGAGGAATGTCTTCACTGTCTCTTGCTTCTTTAACCTACCCTGTTTAGTACCTCTGTGCTAGTTTTGTGACACCTGCCATCCTTGGAAACCTGATTATATTTGTTTGAGGCAGGTCCTGTACTGGTATCCCTGGAGCTTAATTTCTGCAGTGAGGTAGTGTGATTCAAATCTGCCTGAAAAGCATGTTCTTTGCCTCTAATCCCTATGCTTTTCTGTGCAGCTGGTTTCTACTCTAGCCAGCACATTAGTTCTTCCAGCCCTGTGTAATTTGACTGAGGAAGGGAGAGTTTATATTTCTGGAATCTCTTCAGTGACAGACTTAAAACAGTTGGTGTTTTCTCCTAGAAAGAAAGAGGGGAATATTTGTGTGTGCATCAATTTCCCCTTAATCTTTGGAGAGAGAGTTAGAGTTTTGGCATGAGTTGGTGGCCAGGAGTGCTTTCTTTCAGCTGTGGCAAATACATAACTACAACCTTATCTGGATAGACAGAGCCTTACCACAGTTACTCATGAACTGTTATCAACCTGATTACTGTAATGCACTTTATGTAGGGTTGCCTTTGAGGGCAGTCCAGAGACTTCAACTGATCCAAAATAGGGCTGCACATCTAGTGATGAGTATCAGTTCTCAAACCCATATAACAGGACATGTCTCTCCTATCACCACCTTCTGGACATGGTCAACTAGGAAGGAGTAGAACCAGTGCAAGGCAATGCCTTCATCTCCTAATCTAGCCAACCTGTCCAGAAGAACACCATGGTCAAAGATGTTGAAAGCTGCTGAGAGGTCTAGAAAAATCAACATGGTTGCAATTCCATTGTCTTTCTTCTGGCAAAGGTAATCATACAGGGCAACCAAGGCACTCTCCATCCTGAACCCCATTCTAAAACCTGGTTGAAATGAGCCCAGATAATCCACTTCTTTCAAGAGTGCCTGGAGCTGCCTAGCCACCACCCACTCTAACACCTTGCTCAAAAAGGGAAGGCTCACTACCGGTTGGTAGTTGGCAATTATCTCTGCATTCAGGTTTGGCTTTTTTCAGACAGGTTTTACTATATCCTTCTTTAAGGAGGCTCGGACCACCCCTTCCCTCAAGGAGGTGTTAACCCCAGACCCAGGGGTGAACCCTTTCCTTAGATTTTCCAGTGAGCCATGATGGGCAAGGGTCAAGTGGGCACAGTGGGACAAAGAGAGTTAAGCATCTTGTCCACATCATTGGGCCACAGTAACTAAAACTCATCCAGAAAAATAGCACTAAAGAGCAGTGCTCTAGACACATTCCTAGATGGAACTGAAGCAGCTGTGGAGTCCAACTCATGGTGAATCTGAAAGATTTTTTCCCTTGAAGTGCACGGCACATTCATCACAGTGAGTCACCAAGGGTTCAGAAGTCTCATCTGGTGAACCAGATTGCAAGAGACCTTGGACCACTTGGAATAGTTCATCTGGATGGCACTGTGAAGAAGCAAATACAGGTGGCAAAATACTGTTTTGCCAGCTTTATAATCATAGAGTAGGCTCAGTAGTGAGCTCTAAGCTGTGTTCAGTCAAGTTCGTCACGATATTTCCTCTACTTGTGCGCAAACCATCTTCCTTCTTGCTTCATTGCCCTAAGCTCCAGCCATGGAGCCAGCTGGACTCTGCCAATTTTTGTAATTAGTCCAGTGCTTTTAATTTGTTCATAACTAATCTGCAGTTAGGGGCAAGCAGTAAGATGGCCAAGTTTGTGGATTACACCAAAACATTCAGGGTGCTTATAAAAATAGATAGCAAAGGATTACTTCAGAGTGGGTGAATGACAATAAAATGGCAAATGCAGTTGAGTTTAGAGATGTTGACTAAATCAGCAACAAATTCAAATGAGTTTGCATTTCTCTGAATCCAGCCTGTAGATTCCACAGTGGACTGTCTTGTAAAGTCATGTAAATTCTGTAAGCAGGTGTTCCACTTTTGGGGTGGAGTTGTACTGATACACATTAATGCATTAGCAGAACCCTGCACACCTACTAATGTGCATTTGAGATAGTGTGAGTTAGCACAAATACAGCGACATTCTGGGACAAAAATCCAGTTCTGTCCATATATATATATGGGAGGGAGGGCTGAGCTGGTAGTGATTGACCAGAAAGGGATCGTGCAACAGAAGGATATTTCAATGAAGGGTTGTCCATGTGTGTGGTGATTGTGAAAAAAAAGTGATTTCTGTGTTAGTGATGTGGTGTAACCACACTTTGAATACTAGGAATAGTTCTGGTCATTGCATCTCAAAAAGAATATTGTGGAGCCAGAAATGATGCAGAAAAGGCCAACCAAAACAATCAGGGAATCAGAACAAATTCTCCATGAGGCAAAGTTATAATTTTGAGTGCTTTCAATTCAGGAAAGAGGTAAGTAAGGCTGGGGGGCCTTGACAGAGGTGTTTCAAATTGATCAAGGCATGGAGAAAGTTTCCTGTCATATCTGGGGTCATCTGATTAAGCTGAAAGTTCAGGATTTGCAGAAGGAAACAGTATAGTTAAAGTGCAGTATCTACTTTCATAGAGTGTGGTGGTCACCACCAGCGTAGATGGCTTTAAAATGTGGTTAGAACAATTCATGGTTATCAATGCCTATTGGTTATAAGAGCTAGATACTCCCTTGGAGATCAGAAGTTAGCATGCTCTCAGTGGCAGTGGCTTGGAAAAAGAGTGGGAGGGGGCTGGTGTCCCTCAGTCTTACTTTGTGGGAAATGGATTGCTGGATTAGACGGGTCTTTGAACTGTATGATCTTAGGAACTGTCTATCTAGTAAGCTGTCATTTTCCAGGAGGTGTGCCCAATATGATTTAAATGAGTAAAATCAAAGGGGAAATGCTTCTTTTCTACACTTCCAATAATCTTCTTTTTCTCCAGGGATTGTGCCAATCTGCTACAGTTTATTCGCCCTCTATGATCCACAATCCAAACTGTGGTTCCCTCCCAATCATGTGTTTGATATTGAAAGTGGCATCAAGTTGACCCTGCATTTCCGGATGAGGTAAGAACATCCCTTGGCTCTCTATATGTGCTGTCCCTTCACTTACAGGATTGATGTTACAACTTCACTGCAGAATACTTGTTGGCAGCTCAAATGGTGTTGTACGCGCTGACTCTGAAGAGTCTTTGGTGCACGTAGGGGAGAGGGAGACTTCCCGTGGGAACCAGACTTGGTTGCAGGAAGATGTATATTTGGTGCCAGTGCTTCAAACGCCCCCGTACTCCCTGGTGGCGCGCTTCAAAGGGATGAGAGCGCAGAGGGGGTAGGATTCAGGGGGAAACCAAAAGCCAGAGGCCAGTCGAGAGGTTGCCGGAACGGCTGAGACACCTGCTGATAATGGTCTTGGGAACGCAGGAGGGGCATTGGCAGGTGCGCGCTCTCGCAGACGCACGCGCAGATTGGGGCAGTTGGAGACAAGGCAGTTGGGATGACAGAGGGAGGGAAGTTTGCCAGACCTGCCCATTGAGGGACGGCCCAGGCAAGTCAAAAGTATTCCATGAACTGATCCCATTAAGAAAGAGAGGACAACGTTGTCATCAACATTATCATCATCTCTCGTGATTGTAATTGCTAACTCTATGTAGAATAAAGACTTTAGTAGCGACAACTTTAGTAGCCTTTGGAAACTCAACAGGGAAGGTGCCAACCTAGCTTCTCTAGCAAGGGAGTTCCAGAGCCTTGGGGCAGCCACCAAGAAGGCCCTATCCTGTTTCCATCAAGCATGCCTGTGAAGGTAGTGGGACTAAGAGAAAGGCCTCCTCAGAAGATCTTGGAACTGCTGCGGGCTCATACAGAAGGCTGTGGTCTTTCAGATAGCCTGGAGCCAAGCTTGGTAGGGCTTTAAAGGCCATCACTAGTGCTGTGAATTGTGCCTGGACACAGACTGGGAGCCAGTGAAGCTGCTTTATCAAAGAAGTTGTATGTTCCCCGTAATCAGCCCCAGTCAGCAGTCTGGCTCCAGTTCTCAATCCAGCTGAAGTTTCCAAACACTCTTCAGAGACAGGCCCACATAGAGCATGTTGTGTGTTTGTTGTGTGCTGTCAACTCATCTCTGACTTAGGGTGACTCTATGAATGAAAATGGCCTGTCCATGACAGCTCTGAACAACTCTTTCAGATTCAAGGATGTGGCTTCTTTATGGGGGTAATCTGTTTATTAGTTGGTCTTCCCTTTCATCTTCTGCCTTCAACCTTCCCTAACATGATTGTCTTTTCCAGTGTGTCTAGAGCATCTTACAGTAGTTCATTTACATTAGAAGTAAATACAGACTTGCAGCTGAGGGGGTGGTAAAGGGAGTGCAGAGGGGCTAGGGAGGGCAAGAAGGGGCCAGAAAGAACAGCACTAAGCCAGTGGGGGGCGTTAGGGAGTGAAGCAGGCTGCTGATGGGGCCTGGGGGAACCAGGTGGGAGCAGTCTTTGGGGTTGGGAAGATCCTGTGCTTGTATGGGAGCTTCATGCATGTGAAAGATGGTGAGGGAAAGGTTTTGTGAGGGATTTGGTGGAATCCTAAAAAAGAAAAAACGAAAATGGAAAATCTTGCGCTTGCTGTCTCTCTCTCTCTGTTGTGCTTGTAGTGTGTTATCTGATGGATACATGGAATGCTGGATTGTGTGTGAGAATGAATAGAAGATGATGCCTGAGAGAGACCATGCATTTGTGGTGCATGGTGCATGTGGGTGGTGAACTGGCATAAGCAAGCGGGTCTGTTGATGGTGATCCACAGTAAGACAGAAAGGGAGTAGAAAAAAAATTGTTGATTGGTGAGGAGTGGATGAATTTAGAGAGTTGGCCTTCTGTGATATAAATTTCTATTTTGTAATGAAGTGGTAGCTTCCAAGGAGTTGCTTAGTGTGTCAGGGCACAGATTCCCCTCTGCCTTTATTTAGGTTTCTAGGTCACTTGCCCATACTTCCCATGGCAGCCATTCCGTGGTGGCACACAGGACAGTTTTTCAAATTCCAATATGTGTCCATGGACTCAAAAAGATTGCCTACCCCTGGTCTGAGTAATAGAGATTTTTAAAAAATAATTATAAAGTCATGTTATTCTAGCTAATAGTGATGTTGCCTCTCTATTTTCACTCGAGCTCACATTTATCTTCTATAGGCCTTGGCTCCTATTTGTGTGATCTGTGTCTGGAGAAAGTTGTGTAAAGTGATATGGTAGCTTTCTTTTTGATCTTACCATGGAACCCTCTGTGAAAGATATTTGGAGGGTGAGTACCCGGAGGAGGGCTTTCTCTGTGGTGGTGCCCGACTTACGGAATGCGCTCCCCAGATAGGTCTGCCTGGCGCCGTCGTTATTTGTTTTTCGGCACCAGGCCAAGGCCTTTTTATTTAAATGATATTTTAATAATTGTTGACATTATTTATTGGTTTAAAATTATTCAGCCAGGATGTATCCAGATTTTATATGTATCTATTTGTATGTGTATTTATTTATGATGATGGAAGCCATCCTGAGGCTTATGCGAATGGGACAGCATACAAAAATTCCAAATAAATAAATAATGGTAATGCAGCTAGAAAGTTTGACATTGCTAAGAAGACAGAGTGAGACTGTAGGAAAAAGGAAGACAAACAAATGTATGATGTATAAGACAACCCCTGATTTTTACTATTTTCAATTTCAGGGGTTGTTTTATAAGCTGCTATGTATGGTGTGTGAAGCTATTTGGTAAGATCATCCAGATTTTGGCCATGAATGCCATCAGTAGAAAATACTGTTCTCAAAGCTCTGTTTTCTTGGGAAGGAATCCCTACACAACTCCTTTCCATGTGCGCTCCCAGTTCCATTGCTAGTTGAGATCTGCATTGTCCTTATTAGAGGTCAGGTCAATCTTGGTGAAGCAAAAGGTTGTTTTTAGGGGTGGTGTCAAGTCTGTGGAATGGTCTCCAGGGGGTGGGGTGAGGGTCACTGAACTGCATCCCTGGAGCAATACAGAAAGACAAACAAGTCCCCCTCATTCACCTTGGCTCATGAATGCCTCAGTTTAAGACCAAATTGGGTTGCGAACAGAAATTTCAGGAAAAATTTGACTCAGGATGCGAACTCCATATTGGGTAACAATCACGATCACACCCGTCTTCCCTGCATGGGCATGATGGCAGTAGTGCTTGCGGGGGAGATGGCCATGATTGCACCCATCTTCCCTGCACGATTGCGCCCGCGATTGCACCCGTCTCCCCCCTGAGTGTGCCCACGATCGTGCCGTCTTCCCTGCATGATCGTGCCCTCGATCACACCCGTCTTCCATGTGATTAAAAAAAATATTTACAGAATGGATTAACCTTATTTACATTGAACCTTATGGGGGAATTTGTCTTGGCTTGTGACCAATTCAGGGAGCGACCAGAGTTGTGGAACGGATTAAGTTCGTGAGCTGAGGTACCACTGCATATGGAAGTTGAAATGTGTGAAATTGGATACACACCCTGCTGATTTGGATGTTTTACTTACCATAATTTTGCTTTTATTAATTATGGATGTTGTAAACTGTCCTTTTAGGACTAGGAATATACTGCAACATTTCTCTCTTACTTGGCCAAGATAATGTATCTGAGCATAGCCCCGGAGTTTTCTGGAAGCAGTGTAAGATGGTTTTGTTCAAGAAAACATTTATAAAGTTTTTTGTATAAATTCCTGTAGGCTAAGATGAGCTTTGCTTTATTTTCCATAATATAGCCAGAGTATTGTTGTTAGCATAAAAACAATTTAGTACTGTGATATTTTGGAAATGTAAGCTGGGCATTTCAAATGCAAGGCATGATATGAATTTAATACTTTTACACACACACACACACACACACACACATATATATATATATATATATATATATATATATATATATATATATAATATCTTTACAAGCTTTTCTCTTGTTCTAGAAGCATTGGCATGTAGATTGTGGTTCATAGCAATGTTTCCCACTTTGAATTCTGTAGGAATGATAGTTTGCAGTGGCCCAGTTGATAACGCATTGCCTATTTTTGTGCCAAATGTTGTTACGGTCAAAGCTAAATAGCTTTCATTTTGCTTCTCAGCAGATTTCCTTCCTTGTTAGGTACAGGTGTGTCTCAGTCAGGGTAGTTTGACCACAAGTTTTGACAGAGCTGGGTGCATCTATCAGAAAGCATTGCACTCATATAAAAGTAGCATCTTGTTTGCTGTTCCAAAGCAAAACTGTGGTATTTGAAAGCAGAGAAAGACTGGCTTCTTCTTAACACACCCAAAACATAATTCCCATAACTCTCATAACCCTGTGGGCCTCAAATACATTTTTAGAGAAGTACAGTACAGGTACAAACAAGGTATGCTTCCTTTCTGACATGTAACAGTGGAACCCTAATCTGTTACTCAGATCTAAGTCCCATGGAGTTCAGACAGTCTGCATATGTGCAACTGAGATCTGAGAAGAAATTGGGTCAGGTGATTATCATGCTGATGGAGAACAACTACTTCTGCTTGGTGCCTTATTGTCAATGCTAGGCTGAGTTTGTGTGTGTTGTTCAACAGAGGTAACCAGAACACACTGCTTTTGTGTTGGAGCAGGTGTTGACATCCCTGCTAGCCAGGTGACTTACAGACCCACTAAAACCAAGTGCCATCCACCCCTCCTCAACTCGCTTACCTTCCAGTAACCTATCCCAGGAGACTTTCCTCAGTCTGGCCTTCAGTTGGCCCTCTTGAAGTCCCAGCTTCTAGTGTTCGACCTGCTGCACGTCCCCAGTCCCCTGATCTCAAAGCAAAGGATGGAGTGATCACTTGCATCCAGAGCTCCCCTAATCTGCACTCCATCTATCAGTTCCTCTCTATTGGTCTTTCCCTTCCTGTCCTTTCTAAAAAGATGATACCCCTCTATGTTCACATTCCAGACTTGCCTTTCATCCCACCAAGTTTCTGTGATTCCCACCAGATCATACCCTCCTATTCCCAGGAGAGCTTCATCTCTTCCTGCTTATTACCCATGCTCCTAGCATTAGGGTACATGCACCTCAACT